GTAAAGTTTGCGGATGATATCAAACTGTTTAGGATAGTCAAGACAGAAGCAGACTGTGAGGGACTCCAAAAAGATCTTGCCAAACTGAGTGATTGGGCAACAAAATGGCAAATGAAATTTAATGTGGATAAGTGTAAAGGAATGCACATCGGGAAAAATAACCCCAACTATAAGTACAGTATGATAGGGGCTAATTTGGCTATGACAAATCAGAAAGGATATCTTGGAGTTATCGTGGATAGTTCTCTGAAAACTATTATTAAGAAAGGGATTACAGCGTACCTATGTCTGAAACAAAAATGAGTTTAGTCGAGAAATCTCAGAACTTGCAAATCTCTTTCTGATGCAAGTGAACCAAGCTCATAACAGTATTTTAGAACACTTTCACAAACTGGGGAAGCGCCTTTTTTCTTAGTGATTAAAAGAAATTGCCTCGTAATTTCTAATCATTATCCTTTTGCCTCATTTTTCAAGTTTACCTAGTTTAAGTTTTTCTTTAACACATCATTGTCGTATTTAAACACTGAAATTCATTTTCCCTTAGGTAAAAACTACCATTGCCTAACTTTGCATCATTGACCACCTCCAAGAAAAGGAATGTGTTTTACACACAACGCACCAAATGAAATTAATGGGTAGCAGGTTTAAAACTAATAAAAGAAAGTTCTTCTTCACACAGCGTGTAGTCAACCTGTGGAACTCCTTGCCAGAGGAGGCTGTGAAGGCTAGGACTATAACAGAGTTTAAAGAGAAGCTAGATAATTTCATGGAGGTTAGGTCCATAAAGGCTATTAGCCAGGGGATAGAATTGGTGTCCCTGGCCTCTGTTTGTCAGAGGCTGAAGAAGGGTGGCAGGAGACAAATCGCTTGATCATTGTTTTTGGTCTACCTTCTCTGGGACACCTGGTGCTGGCCACTGTTGGCAGCCAGGCTCCTGGACTAGATGGACCCAGTACGGCCATTCTTATGTTCTTAAGAACTAAGGCTCCTCCAAGGCAAAAAACGTAACAGTGATATGAAGAGACTTCCTTTTGACATCACACAAGTTAGCCAGTGGAACTCACTGCCACTGGATACAATGGAGACCAGTTGCTCTTAGTGGAATTAAAAGTAAATACCTTTGTGAGAACATTCACACTGGCTAGGCTTTAGAACCCCTCTTGTGTGTCTGGCTGCAGAGTGGGGAGCAGCTGGTGACTCTGAATGTCTGGTTGCCCCAGGCAAGGGAAGACCCCATTCGATCTGGTGGGTAGCACTGGACTGTCTTGGGAGGGGGAGCACATGGGGACTCTTTTCTTTTCTCCTAGCTACCTGTGAGTCTGATGCTGATTGATTGACACTCCCCTCCCCCTTTGGTTATTTTTATGAGCAGCTGGCTCAGCTGCAGCAGCCTCCCCACCCCACCTTGTTCTGCCAAACATACAGGCTGCTCCTAGGTGGGATTAACTTTTGGCTAACAAGGCAATAGCCTTATGCCCTGCTGGCCAGGCCAGGCCGGGCAGGGAGCTTGCTCCCGCAGCCCTGGTGAGCCTGGTGCACTCCTGCCAACAGGAAAGACAAGGCAAAGCAGCCCATGGGGCTTAGGAACTCCACTGGGAGCTGCTTCCATTCTCTTGGGTCAGTGTCTGTGTGGTTCCCGTGCGGCAGGGACATCTGGCATCTGCCAGGCTCCTCCGGTTAACGTGGTGACCAGACACGCAATCTGGTTACTACGGGAACCCATGCCAGCTGTGGGCAAGTTTGAAGAGGCTGTACATTTTTCTTCCCTCCCTTCCCCCCCCCCCCCAATTTCTCTGCAGCTCTGCTGAGCTGTCAGGGAGGGATGAGGGTCCCTTGGACCTTTGTCCCTCGAGGCTGCTGCCTCCTGGGTCCATTGCCATCATCTTCTGTGTGTGATGGGCAGGGGCGGCCCGTGAGCGTAGACAGACTCAGCGGTCGCCTAGGGCGACGCTGACCCGGGGCGCCCAATGATGACATCACAGCCATTGATGGCTGTGCAGGCGGGGGCGCCAATCGCATCTTCTGCCTGGGGCGCCAGCTGCCGCAGCCGGCCTCAGGCTGCTCTTTGGTTATGGGTTCATGTCTGGGCAATTGGTGAGCACCGGAGAGGAGTGGGGGGCGGGTAGGCTGGGAAGCTTGCACAGCACCTGCACACATGCTATCAGGCTCTAGCCCCTTCCCTCCCCCCAATGAATTCCCATACCTCAGGGGAAAGAAAACACCACACTCTGGCTCCCAGCACTTTCCTTTTATAGCATCTCCCCGTAAAGGGCTTCAGAGTTGTGATGCCCTGGGTTCGATTCTGTACTGAACTGCACTAAGTCAAAGAAATCCTTTTTCTGTACTGGGATGCAACCAGGTTCTTTCCTTATGTTCAGCCTAGTTCCCATACAGGGCCCAGGGTCTTCTCAAACATCTATGTCAAAAGTACCCAGATGATCTCCCAGTAGATTTTTACTCAAGAATTCCTTCAATTTGTTGTAATTCCCAGAATTCATGTAATTCCCAGATACAGAGAGAAAAAATGATGAAAGCAAATTACAGTAAACTTCCAATAATCTGGCACCTTTAGGACCCAGAGGGTGTCGGATTATCAAATATGCCGGACTATCGGAAGTGGGGGCTATGCGGGGGGTGGGGTGGAGTGGGGGGGTGGGGAGGCGGCACTGTGGGACCAACCCAGCAGCACCCCAGCTGCTCTGCCCCGGGCGTCCCCAAGTCAGCCGCTGCTGAAACTGACCAGCAGCTGACTCGGGGAAGTCTGGGGCAGAGCAGCTCCAATTGTCCGGCTTCCTGGAGCACTTCCGGGTTCCAAATGGTGCTGGACTAGCAGGAGTGCCGGACCACTGGATGCCGGACAACTGAAGTTTTACTGTATTTGGATGTGCCAAGTCATCACTGAATGCAGGGTGATAGAATGTTGAAACCACATTATGGCTGTTTGTCACTGACGCTCACTGACTGTAGTGAAAACTGTTACTTGTCTCTTCTAATAATGGTCAAAAATGTCCTCCAGTCCCCCATCTCAGAGTTGTGTCCCTCTTGGGTACTGGGAATTAAATCAACATGCATCATTTGTGACTTTGCACAGCTACCGCTGGGGGAAAATGGGTTTGTTTGAAGAGCTGAATGTGGTGAGAGTAGAATAAATGTGTTAATTTTACATAAATATGTATGTCGATAAATGTTTGACTTCATGTTTGAAGATATGATTGCTCTCTTTAAATATATTAGCGAGATAAATGCCAGGGAGGGAGAGGAATTATTTAAGCTCAATACCAATGTGGACACAAGAACAAATGGATATAAGTTGGCTATTAGGAAGTTTAGACTCAAAATAGATGAAGGTTTCTAACCGTCAAGAGGAGTGAAGTTCTGGAACAGCCTTCCAAGGGAAGTAGTGGGGGCAAAAGACCTATCTGGCTTCAAGATTAAGCTAGATGGGTTTATGAAGGGGATGGTTTGATGAGGTAACATGATCTTGGCAATCAATAGACCTTTCACTATCAGTGGTAAATAGGCCAATGGTGGGAAGATAGGAGTTGCTATAGAGAACTTTTTTCTGGGTGTCTGGTTGGTGAGTCTTGCTCACATGCTCAGGGTTCACCTGATCGCCATATTTGGGGTCGGGAAGGAATTTTCCTCCAGGGTAGATTGGCAGAGGCCCTGGAGGTTTTTCGCCTTCCTCTGTAGCATGGGGCACGGGTCACTTGTGGGAGGATTCTCTGCATCTTGGGGTCTTTAAACCATCGTTTGAGGACTTCAGTATCTGAGATATAGGTGAGAGGATTATTCTAGCAGTGGGTGGGTGAGATTCTGTGGCCTGCATTGTGCAGGGGGTCAAACTAGATGATCATAATGGTCCCTTCTGCCCTTAAAGTCTATGAGTCTATGTTGTTTTGCAACATGTAATTCATATGTAGGCACTTCCATCCCATTAATCCCTTAGGGCACATCTACGCAGCAAGGCTAAAGCCAAAATAAGCAGCACAACTTGATTTATGTCGATTTGCATAGCTTAAGTCGAAATAGCTTTTATTTCAGCTTTTGGCTCTGTCTACACAGCAGGAAGTCTGAGGAAGAGCACTCTTCCTCTGATTTCTCTTATTCCTCGTAAAATGAGTGTTACAAGAGTCAGAGTAAGAAGTCCTCAGCTCGACATTATTTCAACATTGTCAAAATAACGGCTTGTATTGTAAATTATTTCAGAATAACATCAGTTATTCCGAAATAACACTGCTGTGTAGGCATACCATTAGTGCAGCCCTGGCTAGAAGCCAGAACGGTGTTTATGCACATGCCCCTTAGGAACAGACAGCTCTGTCCCCTCCCTTCTTTTCCCAGGTTTGAGCTGAGCCCCAGGATGAGAGACGCTTGCATGATTGTGAAGCACCAGCTCAGCCATCCTACTGCTGTGAAGAGTAAAGAGGTGGTGAGTTGGATGGAAGCAGAGAGGCGGAGCAGCTGGGTTGGCCCGAGTTTGTCTGAAATTGTTCTGGGCAGTTCTCGGCTTGTGGTGCAGGAATTCAGAGGGGATGGTCGCTGTGGGTCCCTCTGAATCCCACCAAGCGCCTCCTCTGCTGCAGCTGGGAATCCCTGATGTGAGTCGCGAACCCCTCCTCATTCCAGGTATCCCAGACCTGAAGAGATTGGCTGTAGAATGGCCCACGCATCCTCAGGACCACAGGAAATTTATCACTCAGTGTCCCAAGGGCAGGTGCAGAGCCAGCTGCTGCCTGCTACCCAAACTGGGCACCAGTTGGCCCTCTCTTGCCATCTGTGCCTTCCTTCTGGGGGGCTTCCTGTCCAAGAGTGCTCCATCCCAGGGAGTGCCTCATCCTGTATGCAGGGCATGAGCCCAGAAGTTTGTGCAGGGTCATGGAGCAACCATGGCTTGTTAGCAAGGGGTGTGTGTGTAAGGAATTGCCTTGTATTTATTGCAATGGGAGGGCATAGCTGGGGTTGGGTCATGGCTACTGACAAAGGGAAACCACTGCATCACACAAAAGTGCCGACAAGCAGCATCTCCCCTCCTCCCGCTGACTTTTAGCAACAGGCCTTTATCGACACCCTAAAAGCTGCACAGTGTAGACATACTCCTGGCTTTGTGATAGGAAGCATTGGGAGCAGCGAGAGCTTTAGCCACTGGGCATGTCCCTGTGAGGAGAAGCATTTCTCAGCTTGAGCTCTGCCCTCCTCTCTCCCCAGTTGTCCAGCAGTGGTGTGCTTCTCCAGGAGTGGTTCCGAGTGTCCAGCCAGAAGTCCTCCGACCCAGTGACAGTTGCCAGCCACCTCCTGGCCTTCGCTGAGGTCTCTCCTGGGCTGCTGGCCCACGTGGTCAACCTGGCAGATGGGAACGGGAACACGGCTCTCCACTACAGTGTCTCACACTCCAACTTTCAGATCGTGCGGCTGCTCCTGGACACCGGTTAGTAGCACAAAATGCCTGTCCCAGGGGCGCTAGGCCAGAAGGAACCTGTAACGCCCGGGAGCGGGGAGGATCTGCACTAGGAGATGGGAGCTGAGAACTTGGTTCCCTTTCCACCAATTGCCCTGATCCCCAGGCTTCTCTCAGCTGCTGTTCCGCAGCCCTTACCTGACACACATCCACCAGGGAGTCCCTGACCCACCACCTGCTCCACCAGTTGGAGGCCAGCCTGCCTCCCTCTCCTAGGGTATATCTAGACTACATGGCTCCATCGATGAAGCCGTGTAGATTTGTTTACTGGGCAAAGGGAAATGAAGCAGCGATTTAAATAATCGCCGCTTCATTTACATTAAAATGGGTGCCGAGCTGTGCTGATCAGCTGTTTTGGCGGCACAGTGCTGTAATTTGGACACTTCGCGGTCGACATCAAAGGCATTTGTCGACCTCCCCGGTAAACCTCATCTCACGAGGCATAACAGAGAGGTCTACGAATGCCTTTGATGTCGACCACAGAGTGTCCAGACTACAGCGCTGTGCCGACAAACAGCAGATCGGCACAGCGCGGCAGCCATTTTGATTTAAACAAAGCAGCGAGTATTTAAATCACCGCTTCATTTCCCTTTGCCTACAACCCTGATCTACATGGCTCCGTCGACGGAGCCATGTAGTCTAGATACACCCCTAGTGCCTTGGGAAACTGGCTGGTGCACAGGGTGTAGTGCTCCACATTGGCCCATGGCCTGGGGTTACCCAGACACGTTAGGTGAATTAGGCCTATCCCACAAGCATTTCCCTGCCATCAGCATCCATTCTGAGGCCCAAGTTCCTCTTCCAGGAGATTGCTGAGGACTGGGCTCATCCCTTGTCAGGCTGGGAACAGAAGGCAATTCCAGGCCACAGCAGATCCTCCAATCCCAGCCATGCTGGGCAGCTGTGGAGGAAGGGGCAGGCTTTGCTCTTTCATACCAGCAAATAGGTATTATCTGGGTGCATCCAGGGAGCAAACAGCTCCCAGCAAGCAAGTCTGGCTCCTTGCCCAAGAGCCATGTGGTGACTGGTGGCTGTCCTCCAGCTTCCAGACTTTGCCAGAACCCCGGAGCAGCAACTCTGGCACCTGAGACAACCCTGGGATGGGAACTGAGGGCAGTTTTGCTGCTGGACCTTCTGGCCTGCTGGGGTCCCTCACGCTGCTTGGCCACTCTGTCTGCAGGGGTGTGCAACGTGGACCATCAGAATAAAGCCGGATACACGGCCCTCATGCTGGCAGCGCTGGCCTCGGTGGAGCATGATGACGACATGCATGTTGTCAGAAGACTCTTCGGCATGGGAAACGTCAATGCCAAGGCGAGCCAGGTCTGCACAAACAGTGCTTCTCCCCACAGCATAATCCCTCTGCTTGAGACCCTGGGGCAGTCCCTGACTGCTGCAAAGCACGGCGTGTGAGCAGGTGGGCCAGCTCACCTAACAACAGGCCTTGTTCCTGTCCCAATCGGTGGCCATAAGCTTTGGAGGCCACTGGAGGAAAACAAGCTTTGTCTCGCTCCCGAGGCTTTTTGTGTGGGATGGCCAGCTACAGGCAGCCCCCCACTTGGCTCTGGGAATTCGAGCGGAGCAAGCCAATGGCAGAGCCTCCAAAAGATCCCTGATAGAGCTTGTCACTGTTGGCAGCTGCTGGCCAGATCCTGTATATGCTCAGCACTGAGCTGCATCTTCCTTGTTTACGTTTTCCTGCTGTGTAATGCTTCCCCATTTCAGTGCATGGGAACCGGGGGGCTGGGGAGCCAGGAGTCTCGGAGGATAGGCAAGCCAAGCAGGTCCTTGTGGGAGAACACCCTGGGAAATCTCTTCTCCCTATGTGGGGCACAGGAGCCCCTGGCCTCTCCCTGCAGTCAGTACCTCATCTGGCATAATGTGAGTCCATGGCTCCTGCAACATGGCTGCCTAGGAGAGACGTCCAGTGTTACTAATATAAAGCCAACGGCCCCAGGTCATCAGCAGGTGAATGTGAACCTGTGACCTTAGGGGCTAACGCCATATGCCTCTATGGCCTGAGCTAAAAGCTAAGACTGTAGAGCAGCTGTTTCTCTCCCTTGTGAGTGGTCTCAGTGCCTCTGGGTTCCACTAGTAACCTAGCTGGGGGTGGGGATTGTGCTGGTCTCTTCTGCATCTCACCTGGCTTCCCTCACCTCTCATCCTGCTTGCAGGCTGGCCAGACGGCTCTGATGCTGGCGGTCAGCCACGGCAGGCAGGAGATGGTCGAAGCTGTGCTGGCCTGTGGAGCTGATGTGAACCTGCAGGACGAGGAGGGCTCCACAGCTCTGATGTGCGCTTGTGAGCACGGGCGAGTGGAAACCGTACGGCTGCTCCTGGCTCAACCAGCTTGTGACATCTCCATCGTGGATAACGTAAGCTCCAGACCAGCGCCGAGGCTGTGAAGCTCCTGCTCTCCTCTCTCCTGGGGCTCCGGTGCTGCTGTCCAGCGGAGCCACTGGCGAGTGGAGACTGTCCTTTCACTCTCGTGATAGACACGCTTTCCCTGCTTTCATGCTCCCCCAGGACCTGCTCCAGATACCATAGTCTTGGCTTCTCTCCAACATCAGAACGGCCACACCGGGTCAGACCAAAAGTCCATCTAGCCCAGTGTCCTGTCTTCTGACATGGCCAGTGCCGAGTGCCCCAGAGGGAATGAACAGAGCAGGGAATCATCCAGTGATCTAGTCATCCCCTGTTGCCCATTCCCAGCTTCTGCAGAGGCTAAGGACACCCAGCTGCATCTGCTGACCTCTTGCGCCCAGCCACCTGGCCACTGGCTGGATGGCAGAGCTGGTCACTCAGCCAGGTGAATTATCCACCGACAGATTTGGATTGTTCCAGGGTATTTGACTGCAGGGATGGTTTGTTCACCCCAAATGGGAACAACAGCCTGTTGGGAGCTCATCTGGGCTTAGTAGTATCTGTGGCCCCTGACATCCCCATGGGATGTTTCTGCTGCTTGAGTGGCAGGGACCAGTGCACATGCAGCCAAACAAGGGCTTGCACTAACAGAGTCAGCGAGCTGCCCTGGGGCTGCACAGAGACATATCCATCCAAACAACTACCCCATGAGGGGCCAACCTGCCTGAAACCAGCCATGGCTGGGAGGCAGAACAAAAGCATTGCCTGGCAAGTCTCACCCGAGGGGAGGGAGGTCTGGCAGGCCCTGCTTCTTAAAAGCCATGTGGACTCCCATTTAGAGCTACCACACTGCCCTTTCCTCCTGCGCCTGGACTTTTCCAGGCAACTCAGTAACTTGCCTTGGCTTTTGGCCTTGTGCTTTGCTGCCTGTCCCAGGGCCTTACAAGCCCTGTACTTTCAGCCATGTGTTACTTCAATCGCCGCGCGCCCCTCCCCCCCAGCTTCTCTTTTGTGCTTTGTCCTGATCCCTTTTCCTTTCCTCCCCTAGGACGGTAACAACGCTGTGGGTATTGCACTGGAGGCAGGTCACAGCAACATTGCAGTATTGATATACGCTCACCTCAACTCTAAGGCACAGTCACCTGTGAGTATCTGAATGCTCCCCCAGGCCAAACCATGGCAAGTGTGGTCCCACCCAAGCTATCCAAAGTGCTGTGCAAGAAATGGGTTCTGGGGCTCACTGGAACCTGCTGACAACACAGTCCAAACCTTTCCTGAGCTGGCGCTGCTGAACTGACTGGGCCATACGCCAGTGGGGTTCACACAGGTACCAGCATTGGCCCTGTCCAAGCTAGAACACTTATGAAACCTTGGGACAACGGTAAGGTGAACGGACTACAAATAAATCCAAGCTAGATCTCTCAGAATTGGACTCCATGCTGCCAGCCTATTGAAGGGAGGGATTTCTCCTCAGGATAGGGTAAGGGGGAATAGCAAGAAGTCATAAGAATGGTCAGACTGGGTCCTGTCTTCCAGAAGTGGCCAATGCCAGGTGCCCCAGAGAGAATGAACAGAACGGGATCACCAAGTGATCCCATCCCTGTCACTCATTCCCAGCTTTTGACTAACAGAGGCTTAGAACACCATTTCTACCCATCCTAGGTAATAACCATTGATGGACCTAACCTCCATTAATTTATGGAGTTCTTTTTTGAACTCTGTTAAAGTCCTGGTCTTCACAACATCATCTGGCAATGAGTTCCATGGGTTAACTGTGCAATGAGTGAAGAAATATTTCCTTTTATTTGTTTTAAACCTGTTACCTATTAATTTCAGTTGGTGACCCTTTGTTCTTGTGATATGGGAAGGAGTAAATAACTTTTACTTATTTACTTTCTCCACACTAGTCATGATTTTGTAGACCTCTATCATATCCCTCCCCTTTCTTTTCAGCTTGAAAAAGAGACAACTTCCAGTTTTATTAATCTCTCCTCATGCGGCAGCCATTCCATACCTCTAATAATTTTGTATGCACTTTTTGGAACTTTTTCCAGTGCCAAGATATCTTTTTTGAGATGAAGTGACCACATCAGCATGTATTCAAGATGTAGGCATACAATGGATTTATACAGAGGCAATAAGATATTCTCTGTCTTAGTCGCTATCCCCTTCTTAATGAATCCTAGCATTCTGTTTGATTTTTTTGACTGCTGCTGCACATTGAGTGTATGTTTTCAGAGAACTATCCACAGTGACTCCTGCAAGGAGGTTTAATGGTAGTTCGAATTAGGAGCTTTAATTCGAACTACCTAGTCTGTGCTGTGTGTAGCCACGGGCAGGTAGTTCAAACTACGGGACATTTAAAAATGGCGGTGCCCAGGAACATGCAAATAAAGCCTGGGATATTTAAATCCCAGGCTTCATTTGCAAGTTTGAATGCCTACATTAGCCACCCTAGTTTGAAGTAGGGTGGCAGTGTAGACATACCCTAAGATGATTTACAGTATAGGTTACAAACCACAGCTAGTAGTTCCTCAATTTCACATCTGAGTTCTTTTAGAACTCTTGGGTGAATGCCATCTGGTCCTGGTGACTTGTTACTGTTCAGTTTATCCATTTGTTTAAAAAACTCCTTTAATGACACTTAAGTCTGGTACGATTACTCAGATTTGTCACCTAAAAAGAACAGCACAGGTTTTGGAGTCTCCCTCACATCCTTAGCCATGAAGATCGATGCATAGAATTCTTTTAGTTTCTATATAATGATCTAATCATCCACGAGTGCTCCTTTAGCATCTCCGTCATCCATTACCCCCACTGGTTGTTTAGCAGGCTTCCTGCTTCTGATGGACTTAAATGCTATTACTTTTAAAGTTTCTGGCTAGTTGTTCTTCAATTTCTTTTTGGCCTTCCCAATTATATTTTTACACTTTGACAGAGTTTATGCTCCTTTCTATTTTCCTCACTAGGATTTAACTTCACCTTTTAATAAATGCCTTTGTATCTCTCTCTGCTTCTTTTCCTTAGTTGTTAAGCCATGGTGGCACTTTTTTGGTTCTCTTAATGGCTGTGTCTACACTGGGCCACTTATTCCAGAAAATCAGCCGCTTTTCCGGAATAAGCTGTGAGCTGTCTACACTGGCCCTTGAATTTCCGGAAAAGCAACGATGCTCTACTGTACAAAATCAACCGCTATTCCGGAAAAACTATTCTGCTCCTGCTCGGGCATAAGTCCTTATTCCGGAACACTGTTCCGGAAAAGGGCCAGTGTAGACAGCCCTGTAGTCTTTTCCGGAAAAAAGCCCCGATTGCGAAAATGGCGATCGGGGCTCTTTTCCGGAAAAACGCGTCTACATTGGCCACAGACGCTTTTCCGGAAAAAGGGCTTTTCCGGAAAAGCAGCCTGCCAATGTAGATGCTCCTTTTCCGGAAAAACTGAAAACGGAATAGTATTCCCTTTTAAGCAGTTCTGGCATGAATTTCCAGTGTAGACACAGCCAATGTGTTTTGTACTGTAGGGTATACATTTAAGTTGGGCCTACACTATGGTGTCTTTGAAAAGTTTCCATGAAGCTTGCAGGGATTTCACTTTTGGTACTGTACATTTTCATTTCTGTTTAGCTAACCTCCTGCCCAAAGGGGATGTTGAGGTAGATAGGAAGCAGCCTTTCCCATCAGAGGTAATGGTGAGGTCTTCACAGGGAAGTGCTCAGCCTTATGATTGTTTAACCGTTGAACAAGACCAATCAGTGTGGACCAGCCTGCCCAGGTGGAGGAAGAGAGCTTTCTTTACTGAATATTTTAGAGATTGTCAAGGGAGGCAAAACAGAAGCTGGAATTTCCCATATGCACTAGAACTGTTCATGAGAACAGCCACACTGGGCCAGATCAAAGGTCCATCTAGCATAATATCCTGCCTTGTGACAGTGGCCAATGCCAGATGCTTCAGAGGGAACTGACAGAATAGGGCAATTTTCAGGTGAGCCACTCTGCAATGTCTGAAACTGGCTGCTGATCCCTAGGAAAAGAGAAATTTGGATAAGGACTCAGACTAATGTTTCTACCCATCGCAACGAGAGTTAGTGCTAAGTTCCTACTTGGTGTTTCGTTGGCTTAGTGTGTCTCACTCCACAGACACAAGGGGGCGACATTCTAAAGAATATCTCAGAAGTGCCCCTGTAGTGCCCAGCTCTTCTGAAGTGCAGCTGTTTTTCCATCTTGCCTCTAGATTCAGTAGTTGTTGCTCTCAATCAGAAAAGCAATTTTGCCATGGGCCCCAATGACGTGTGTGTACAAATGCTTGTAATTACAATACGTGGTTGAAAAGGAAGTAAATCACATTGTTCTATTTGAAATAATTACTAACCTGTATGTGCTTTTAATATTGTTTGGTGTTGATTGTTGTAAAGTTGGACTGACTTCTCAGAGACTCCTCCAGAGACGTCCAGCTGGGCTACATCCAAGCGAAAAGGTGACTCTCATTCTCAGAAGACATCAGCAAAAAATTGGCTGCTGACCACAGATCTTCCATGGCTCTGCATGTGCCCCAGACCGACTTCCCTCTTCCCTAGCTGGATTGAAAGGAGAAAAGATT